GGGCGAGGCCCGGGGGAGCGGCGCGCGAGAAAGTGCCCAGCTGGGAAATGCGGCTCTGAATTAACATCGTATGTTTCATAATCAGTTTACGGGCCGCTTTGGGCGAAGCCACTTCCAGAGGGGGGAGGGCAGCCTGGTTTTCCTTAGGACGCTCCTCAGCCAGATTGGAGCTGGAGAAAGGAGCTGGGGGGCGCAGGAATCAATGGAGACAGGGAGAGAGATCTGCTCTCCCAACCAAGGAATCCAGAAAACAGGGCGCTCCCTCGGACTCGGCGTGCTCTAGCGAAAGGATGGCACCAGAAAGGAGGGATCTGGGTCCCGTCGTACTCGGACGGGACCCCTGCCCTGCTCTCCCCACCATCCTCCTCCAAATTCTTTTTCACTCTCCCGCCGACCCTCCCGTCCCCACTCCTGGCAGCTGCCTAGGAGCCGGGGGAAAGGAAGCCAAGGGGGACTCCAGTTTCCTTTGGTCCTGGTCGGAGTTGTCTGCCGCTTCGCCATCGAGGCACCTTGAGCCTGGCCTTGGAACACCGCCCCCGGCCCACACCCCCCTCTAGCCCAATTAAGACTCGGTTGGGTCAGTTCTGAACGGTGAGGGTGCAGATTGAGGCCGGAGCTGGTTCCAGCGAGCCCCCCGACGGGGCCAGAGATGCGCAGGCTCGGGCGCCGCGGCGGAGACCGGAGACCCCGGGTTCCAGGGCGCAGAGGGCCTGGCGGCGAAAGTTCCAGTCGTCAAGAATGTCGGGGCAGGGGCGGCCTCGGAAGCTCCCGCTGCCCTTCCTCCCCACGGGTGACTTCTCCACCTGCAGGCGGCAGCGGAGCAAAGCGGTGGCGACTGCGGGAGGGAGGAGCAGGTTTCCAAAATCCCCTTTTACATCTCTGACCAGTTTAACCCCGACGCGCTGCGCCTCCCGCAGCTCCCCAGGGACCCCCTTCCTCAGGAAAGGACGGGTGAGCCTCTTCCAGGCGACAGAAGGGACTGAGGGGACCTAGGCAGCTTAGGAAACACGAAGGGGCTCAGAAGCTTGCCACGGCTTTTCCTGGCCAGCCGCCCCTCCGGCCGAGACACCTCGGGGCTTCTTCGAGAGGAAATGCTTATGTGTGCCCGGTGCCCGCTAACCAGGGCTCCAGCGCCCGTGGCACACTAGTCCTCCAAACGCCTTGGAGCTGGGGGAGCATCCCAGAGAATAGAAACCTGGGGTTTCCCCAGCCGCGGAGAGAAGCCTTCGGCTCCCTCCCCACCCCCGCCCGCTGCCCGAAGTGTCAAGTTTCCTCCAGGGGAGGGGGGTGGGCTGCGAGGTCTGCCTTCGCGCGCGGCCCCTGCTGCAAAGCCGACTCTCCCCATAGGCGGCCGAGGCCGCGCGCGCGTACACTCCTGCACGATCACACTCACGCACTCGCACACACTCACACGCGTGCACCGATACACCGGCTCCGATGTGCGTCCCAGACGGCGGCGCTGGTCGCTGCTGGCCACGCGCAC